AATAGATTTTTGTTGTAAATATGCCTGACAAGATTGTTACACTGAATGACATTTTAGTGGGTCTCTTCTGTAAATCAGGGGAAAATTTATGATATTTATTTTTTTGCTCAGAAAAACCAAAACAAAATTGCAATTAAATTAAACAGAATTGTTTTTGTTTTTTTGGGGGAAAACAACAACAATTTAAAGCAGTATTACACTTATTGTTTTTATGCTTAAACCCTTTTTCGTCTTTGACCCGCATATATTTATGTACATAAAAATGTATATAATTTAATTAATGAAATAGTAAAATATAGTAAAAGTAGTAATATTAAAATTATTAAAAAATAAAATTACTATGAAAAAGTATTGAAAATGTATTACATGACTGAAAACAATATTCTTGCTTACAACTGAAAAATGCAGATATTTTTTATTAATAAAATAGTAAAGTAATAGCAGAAGTATTAGAATGATGAAAATTTAAATGACTATACAAAAATGACTCAGTGTGATCATTTTTATTCAGAAACAGATATTAAATATTAATTGTAGATATTTAAATTATTTTAATCTAATTTCATCTAGCTTTCTAATAAACCTGGCATTATATATTTTGAATATTGCTGGCTCTGAGATGAATTGCTTTGGATAGAAGCTTGTGCTAAATGTGTAAATGTAAATATAAATGTAAAAAATGTTAGAATTATTTACAGCATTATTCAAAACTTGACTCAGCGTAACTGTTTTTATTCACACGGCAATGCTTACAACACAAAAATGTAGATATTCATTAAAAATAGTAAAGTAATATTAGAATTAATAATATTAAATAAAAATTAATTCAAAAATACAAATTGTTAGAAAAAAATATTAATAAAAAAGGGTAAATCAGTATAGTGATCCATTTGTTGAAAATAGGCTGCAAAAATCCATTTTGCCCATGTCCGGCTTTTAGTTTTTTGTATATTAACATAAAAAACATGTTTTAAAAATTGTAAAATTTGCTTGGAAATTGGGAGTTTTTTTTAATTGTATTTTTAAAAAAAAATGTATTGTCTTTTTTAGCAGGTTATTGTCCTTGTTTATTAAGAATTAAATATATGCGATGATCACCTTTTAAAATCCAATCAACAACCGATAGAATCAAGTCCCATGCTACATTTTTTTTTCTTGTTCGATAAGCGTTTCACTCAAAAAAAAGGCACAAAACTGGACAGAGTTTCCATTTCATGCTGACTTAAACAATAATGACTAAAATTTACTACCACCTTTAAATTTCAGTCAAATTCAGTAAGACGAGTCTGTATTGCTCCCATTATCACTGATGTTGTATAAAGCTTGTTGTGTGTGTGTGTGTGTGTGTGTTTGTTTGTCATGATGGATTGAAATCATGAGGAGTTATTCGTCCTCTCACACTCCAGCGCTACATTAGTGAGTGTTAGTTCAGTCTGTCTGTGATGGACGGGCCCTCAGTGACCCCTCCTCCTGTCTAGGGCCACACCACTGATTTATGTGTGTGTTAGGCACCAGTGTGTGTGTGTGCAGTTGTGATTATTGTTACTGGTCTGAATGGTCAGTAATCTGACCGATATACAGTAAACACACACACACACACACACACACACGCCCCGTTTCTCCTGGGTCTTATCAGCTCCCTCTCGCTCCATTAGTGCCATGCTGCACAGAGAGGAGAGATCGCCCTAATCTGACTGTAAGACTGAGACAGAGGTCTGTGTGCCTGAGCAAAATGTTTCTGCCTCTTCACTTCCGCTCTGTTTAACGTTAGCTTGTGTGTGTCTGTGTTGTGTTTGCAGAGGAGTTGACCTGTGAGCCGGCGGGTGATTTCCGCTGTGATAACCACCAGTGCATCCCCCTGCGCTGGCGCTGCGATGGAGACAGTGACTGCGGCGACGGATCTGACGAACGGAACTGCAGTGAGTAACAGCAATGACCTCTTGGCTTCAGTCAGTTCAATATAAAACTGCAACAAACCAGAGAGATAGTTAAGTAATAGTCATTATTTACTCGCCTTTGTGTGGTTCAATAGAATAAAAATTTGAATGAAAGTGAATGAGGACTGGGGCTGTCAAGCTGCAGAAATGCAAATAAACTCCAAATAAATATCATAAATGGTCCATTTAACTCTCATGTAGCTCTTAAATCAAATATGGTGCCTTTAATGCTTGTGACATGTATGAACCAATGATACATACAGGGCAAGATATTCTGTGAATATCGACTTAAAGGGATAGTTCACCCAAAAATGAAAATTCTGTCATTATTAACTCACCCTCCGGCGACGGATCTGACGAACGCAACTGCAGTGAGTAGCAGCAATGACCTCTTGGCTTCAGTCAGTTCAATATAAAACCGCAACAAACCAGAGAGATAGTTAAGTAATAATCATTATTTACTCGCCTTTGTGTGGTTCAATAGAATAAAAATTTGAATGAAAGTGAACGAGGACTGGGGCTGTCCAGCTGCAGAAATGCAAATAAACTCCAAATAAATATCATAAATGGTCCATTTAACTCTCATGTAGCTCTTAAATCAAATATGGTGCCTTTAATGCTTGTGACATGTATGAACCAATGATACATACAGGGCAAGATATTCTGTGAATATCTACTTAAAGGGATAGTTCACCCAAAAATGAAAATTCTGTCATTATTAACTCACCCTCAAGTTGTTCCGAACCTGTATGCATTTCTTTCTTCTGCTGAACACAAAAGAATATATTTGGAAGAATGTGGGTAGCCAAACAGTTTCTGGTCTCCATTGACTTTTTCATAGTATTTTTTCCATAGTAAGTAAGTCAGTGGGGTCCAGCAACTATTTGGTTACCAGCACACTTCAAAATATTTTCTTTTATGTTCAACAGAAGAAAGAAACTCATACAGGTTTTGAGAATTGTTATTTTTGGGTGATCTATTTCTTTAATTTTTGATTTACTCATTACATAAAGCTATTGTATGGCTTCTGAAGACTTGGAATACAATATGTGAACCTGGAGCAAAAAAACAGTCATAAGTAGCACAGGTATATTTGTAGCAATATCCAAAAATACATTGTATGGGTCAAAATGATAGATTTTTCTTTTATGCCAAAAATCATTAGAATATTAAATAAAGATCATGTTCCATGACGATATTTAGTAAATTTCCTACTTTCCATATAAATATATCAAAACTTAACTTTTGATTAGTAATATGCATTGCTAAGGATTTAATTTGGACAACTTTAAAGGCGATTTTCTCAATATTTAGATTTTTTTTTTGCACCCTCAGGTTCAGGATTTTCAAATTGTATCTCGGCCAAATATTGTCCTATCCTAAAAGCTTATTTATTCAGCTTTCAGATTATGTATAAATCTCAATTTTAAACTGGTTTTGTGGTCCAGGGTCACATATATAAACCTAAAAAACTACTTTTATTCTGCTTTTTTGTCATGTTGGCGCTTGAAAAAGAATGGCTCGGTTATCCTTTAACATTTCACTTTCTCTGTGTTTAAAATGACATGAGGGTGAATACATTATTGCTGGATGAACTGTTCCCTTAATAAGAGAGAAAGACACCTGTAAATTTGCTTTACCAGAGAAACAGTAAAGACAAAGATGAAGAGATTGAGAGGAACAGATTGGATAGACAGAGAGCGTGGAGGAGATGACGTGATGGCAGACAAGGTGCTGTGAGGTGTGAAAGGTTGACAAATGGTCTGCGCTAAACCTTTGAGCTGCATGTTGAAAGAAGCGCTGATTTTTTCTGCCCTTTTCTCCTCCCTGCAGAAGAGCTGTAGGGGTGGTGAGCGCGGGTCAGTCCCCTGATGAGTTCAGCTATGAACTCACCTCCCAAAAATGGCCCTGAAGAGCAAGCTGTATCTCATCACATAAACCTCTAGTCCTGTGACACAGTGAAGCGCAGACTAATCACTGCCCTCATTTGTGTCTTGTGTTCTGCTGAACATTTTCCCACCCTCAGGCCATCCAAGATGTAGATGAGTTTGTTTCTTCATCAGAACAGATTTGGAGAAATGTAGCATTGCATCACTTACTCAGCAATGGATCCTCTGCAGTGAATGGGTGCCGTCAGAATGAGAGTCCAAACAGCTGATAAAAACATCCACAAGTAATCCACACCAGTCCATCAATTCATGTCTTGTGAAGTGTAAAGCTACGTGTTTTTAAGAAACAAACCCATCATTAAGACATTTTTAACTTAAACTATTGCTTCCAGCTAAAATATGACTTCTCTCCCCTTAGTATTGCTTTCTCCAGTGAAAAAATTGTGCCTGGAGAGATATATGCACTCTTTACAAGTGAAAACAGTACAAAACTGTTCTAAAGTTATATGTTGGTGGATTTTGATGTGAGAAGACAACAGGGGATGGGCTTTTACACTGCAGAAGGCATTATTATGGCGTATGGACTTGTATTTTGGACAGAGGCATCAGTTTAAAATTAAAAGGTCTTAATGGATTTGTTTCTTATAAACATGCACCTTTTCACTTCCCAAGATATTAATTGATGTACTGGGGTCATTTGGATTACTTGTGGATTATTGTGATGTTTTTATCAGCTCTCATTCTGACGGCACCCATTCACTGCAGAGGATCCATTACTGAGAAAGTAATATAATGCTACATTTCTCTGAATGGCTTGATGGCGAGTACATTTTCAGCAAATTTTCATTGTAGTGTGAACTATTCTTTTAAATAACACCCCTCACTTGTGGTTAAATCACTTTGGCACATACCTCTCTTTGGGCTTATTGCTTTATTTGCTTGCCTCCTTAGTATGTATGTTCATGTGTGTCTGATTGACACGCTTATGCATCCGCAGCCCCTCGTCCGTGCACAGAGAGCGAGTACCGCTGTGACAACCTGCACTGCATTCCTGACCGCTGGGTTTGTGACCATGACAACGACTGCGAGGACAATTCTGATGAAAGAGACTGCGGTGAGTGAAAGAAAAGAAGAGACAGCAGAAAGGAAAGACTATCAAAAGAGGGATGGAGAGAGCCGTGGCACTTGCCACCACGTTCAACATCATAATACTGTCTTTTTATTACAGATTGGTCCTCAGTGGGTGATAACTCAATGCAATTGTGTGCCTGGATAGCTTGTGAATGACTTACAGGAAGTGTGCATAATTCATTTTCCATGGCGTATTGAGAGATTGGCTTTATTCATTGTGGATGAATGTGTTTCAGAGCTGCGGACCTGTCACCCGGGTTACTTCCAGTGCGGTAGCGGCCACTGCATCTCTGAGCGCTTTAAATGCGACGGCAACGCTGACTGTCTCGACTTCACTGATGAAAGCTCCTGTCGTGAGTGTGCTGCCATGTTTTTGTTTTTTAATCTATTTAAATTCTGAAATGTAACCAGAAGACAGCTGTGAGTTGTATTGCAGCGCCCTCTAGAGTCCAAAAGGGTTGTGCAACTGTTCCCATCATCATGCAAACAATAAGGAATATCAAGGAATTTGACATTTTGATTAAAGACTATGAAGACAAACTTTTTTTTTAAATATGCACAGATGAAATGTTCACAATAAGATCAGGATCATTTTGAGCAGCCAGTAGTTGAAACGGCACTAGCAATGCCAAAGTCATGGGTTTGTTTCCAACTGAATGCCTGAATACAATGTTAGACACCTTCATCATGTATTAAGAAAGTTGACTTTGAGCTGTATGTGTGCATATTTCAGCCACACGCTACCCGAACAGCACCTACTGTCCACCCTTCCTGTTTGAGTGCAAGAACCACGTGTGTGTGCAGCAGCACTGGATATGTGACGGAGATAATGACTGCGGGGATAAGGGGGGGGTGAGTGACCGTGTATACACACACACACACACATAGGCTACATACATACATATATATATATATATATATATATATTAGTATGCATGAAAATGTGTATTTTTCAATTAAAGACATCTTATAGATTTAATATGGGCTGCTTTTGGTGCTTGACACCTTTTTATTGGTCATTTTGTGTTTCAAGAATAAGGTCCAAGGTTAAGAATTATGCTATTATTTACTTAAATATAAAATGTTTTTCTCTGTTTAACAACATTACAATAGTGAAAGACGACTTCTCTTACTGATCACGTCTCTTGCGTGGCGGGATGTTGGACTCATGAAAAATAATCACGTATTTTGTATTCACCAAAACTGATTTACTGAAGTGAAAACACGGACGGAATTGGCTAGTGCGAACGGCGCTTGCTGTGAGGCGGGAGTGACGAGCCGACAGAGGATTGCGCAGCCTTCCTCGAACAGTTATGTTCACAATTTCTGATTTACTTAATGTATGCTGCGTCAGGGGGCCTGTGAGTGGATGATGACAGGTATCGGTGATCAGCACTGCTGCTGTTGTATCAGTCAGTGGTCAGATCAGCGTAGCAGTCAAAAAACGGGACAAGGGAGGTCACGTACGGGACAAATCAAATAGGCCCAAAATACGGGATGTCCCGGCTAATACGGGACGGTTGGCAACCCTTATCTATCTATCGTTCTATCTATCTATCTATCTATCGATCATTCTATCGATCGATCGTTCGTTTGTTCGTTCTTTCTATCTATCTATCGATCGCTCGTTCTTTCTATCTATCGATCAATCGTTCTTTCTATCGATCATTCTATCTATCTATCTATCAATCGTTCTTTCTATCGATCGTTCTTTCTAACGTTCTATCTATCGTTCTGTCGTTCTATCGTTCTGTCTATTGTTCTGTTTATCTATTTTAAAAGGTTAACCATGATTATGTTGCTCAAAAATCTAACCATTATTGGTGATTATTGTCATTTTATTATTATTTTTTTCTTTACATTTAATTAGAATTATTGCACTTTCACGGAATCACAAATCAAGAGAAAGTTAACTCCAATGTTGCCTAGTCTGTGGTTTTTCTGCAGAATTGGGCTACGTTTACACTGTTGCAGTGGGCGGTTTTTTTAGTCCACGGGTTAAACGTTCCCCTCAGAAAATGATTTCGATAGAGGGGACCCACCGACAGGGGAGAAAACCACCGAAAAGCAGTTAGAATGCTTTTGTTACGCAAACCTGGCAACCCTGGTCAAATCGCATTTTTAGTCACAGCAAACAGCACAAATGACCACCTGAAAGAAAACAGACTGGCTGTATTACACTTTTACTTGAGTATAATATCTCCATTGAGATTGCTCTAACTTGCATGTTTGCCAGTGTTTTCAGCTCATCAGCACGTTTTCAGTAATGAAGAGGGAGCGTGTGTGCGTGGTTGCCATTTTGGGAAGATTAAGTAAACCACTGGGCAAAAAATTTATCGATTTAAGAGAAAAGCTCAGATTGGGGATTTAAACTATTTAAATCTGGCAACCACAGCCATGAAAGCCCGTGGAGGCTTGTTACCAATGCAAGTGGCGTATTAAAATGAAAAGTTTTCAGGATAAATAACCAACAGTTAAATATTGCAGATGATTATGCTTAATAAACTGAAAGAAGCAGAAATCGTGATCTTGATCAAGATCCCGACTATTGGTCTAAACTTTTTTTTCTAATATAATTTGTATAGTATATCAGTTAAATAATGCAATAAAGTAGATATGGACAAAGTGCACAACCGTCATGTTTCTTGTCTCCTCAGTGGACATCTCATGTGATCCTCCGTTCCGTTTCCGCTGATCAAGATCCCGACTATTGGTCTAAACTTTTTTTTTCTAATATAATTTGTGTAGTATATCAGTTAAATAATGCAATAAAGTAGATATGGAACAAAGTGCACAACCGTCATGTTTCTTGTCTCCTCAGTGGACATCTCATGTGATCCTCCGTTCCGTTTCCGCTGTGATAACACCCGCTGCATCTACAGTCACGAGCTCTGCAACTCTATAGATGACTGCGGTGATGGAACCGACGAGAGGCCGGAGCATTGTGAGTGACAGCCAATAGATTATTAACCAAATATACTATTTACCTATTAAACCCTTTTAATTCTCTAAATTCTATTGAAGCTAGTAAAACACCCTGTTTTGTGTGAATGACTCCTCAGGTGTGACTCCCACACATGGGCCCTGCTCTGCAGACGAGTATAAATGTGGGAACGGTCAGTGCATTCCTCTGCAGTACGCCTGCGACGACTATGACGACTGTGAAGACCAGACCGATGAACTCGGCTGCTGTGAGTTTTGCTCATTCACTCACCCTCATGTTGTTTATTTTCTTTCTTGCATAAACAAAAGTGGAGCAAGCTCCAAAAACTACAAAAAAAAATCTTAGAGCTCTAGATCCTTTTGCCTGCACATCTTTGTAACATTTCTTCATCTGTCTCTGTTAGACTACGGCCATGGACGCACATGCAGTGAGAATCTGTGTGAGCATAATTGCACAGATTTGTCAACCGGAGGCTTCATTTGTTCCTGTAGACCTGGATATAAACCCAACCCGGAGGACAAGAACAACTGCGATGGTTTGTGGCGTTGTCTGAATACTGTATTCATTAGAAAACCTCAATATTTACTTCTTTATTGGAAGACAGGCTTATAGTGGTGCTCTAGAAGCCAAACAGGACAACAGGAACTCAGTTATTTATGACACTTCATTCTACAAAAACAACAGCTCGTTCATTACGCCATTTCTGTCATTGCACATGTGCAGTACTTTCCAGTTTCTGTATTCAATCCGATCAAGAGTTTAGGAGCTCAGTCGGATCGATTAAGGTGTTTACATGAAGCCTTTTCAGTCTGATTGAGCCATCAGTCCAATTACCAGCGGATTATTTGGTTGCATGTAAGCGTAGCTAGTGTTGCAAAGTTCATCAGTTATAAAACTAATTCCATTCATCTATAAGCAGCTCAGCAGATACAATAGTATGATTAATTAGCTCAAGTCAGTTCAGTGTTATATTAGTACCATTGAGATAATATTATAGTTTGTATTAATATTTTGAATTAGGTTTATTTTTGCATTTTAATTTTAGTTAAATTTAGTTGCGTGTTTCATTCATTTTATTTCAGTTATTTTTAGTACATCAAGTTAAACTAAATTCTAAATTCTGAGAAATTTTGCCTTGGCAACTAGCTGAAAAAAAAAAAGTTTCGTTTTTTTGTGTTTTATTTTATTCCAGTTAACGATTATTTTAATTAAAAATGTTTTGTATGATTTTGTTTTCATTTTAGTTTCACGTAATTTTAATAAACTTCAATAAAATATTCAGTTCAATGACAGTGTTGATGTTGGAAAGTTCCTCAATCACAAAGACATATTTGATTCAGCTATAAAGCAGCGCTACAGAAAATGATCAGTTAGTTTTTCATTCTGACCTTGGCATGGAATCTTTTCTGTCTGCGTGAAAGCAACACAAGAAGTGCGCAGCTATGCCTGCACACAACTTCGAGACAACATTGGCACACCATTAGAAGTTGAACTGCTTGCTGTATGTATAATGTGAGGTGTTTTCTGCCCGTCTGCAGATGTGAACGAGTGTGAGATTTACGGGACGTGCCCGCAGCTGTGCAGGAACACTAAGGGCAGTTATGAGTGTTTCTGCGCTGATGGGTTTCGATCAGTGGGAGAGCAGCCGGGAGTCGAATGCGCTGCTGAGGGTAAGGCCTTTCAATCTGAAATCATTTATCCTCTTTTTTACCTTCTATAGCCTAAAACTTGAAAATTTTACGAACATTGGTAAATATGAATGCACCTTTAGAAGTCATAGATGCAAACTCCTCACCTTTCAGTGACAACTCACTTTTTTGAGATCAAAATGAGGGGAGGGGAGGGGGGGTGTCTTGCAGGGGTACTTGTGTTCTTACAACTGGGACTGGTTGCATAAACTGTTTAAACTAGTCTTAAAAAGTTAGTCATCTAATCTAGTCATCAAGACTGGTCATAACTTTTCAAAATCAGTTATGAACAGGTAGATTGGTCTTATTTGCATTGGAAAAGTAAGACGGATTACTCCTTGGGAACTGCTAGTTGGTCAAACTACTTCATCTTTTATAACAAGGGATTTTGACCAAACCTAATCAATCTTGATTTTTGTAAAATGTTGCAACAAGATGTTTTTTTGTGTGTGTGAAAAATTACAGTTTTGGACATATAAGGTAATAAAAAAGTATTTAAAAAAAAAAAGTAAAGTAACTACAAATGAGCATTTAAAGCAAATATCCATGTGGAGAAATTCCGTGTGGAGCATGCTCCCGATCCACGCAATGTTCTCACCTTTTTTCCCCCTTACCTGTTTGCATCTCTGTAGAAGACAGCTGCATATGTAGGCAGCAATGCAAGTCTAGGCTTTGACATCACCATTTCTTTCGCTCTCTATCATTTTTTCCCACAGGAAATCCTCCCGTCTTGTTATTGCCTGATAACGTGCGGATCCGTCGCTTTAATCTCTCGTCAGCGCAGTACTCTGATTATGTGGATAATGCAGAGCACATTCAGGCACTGGACTACCTGTGGGACCCAGAAGGCCTCGGCCTAAGTAAGACAATATTCACTGGATATCCCATCTAATATGACATATGCTTAATGTTTTGATGCAGATGCAGCACAGGGAAGCCCAATTTACAGCACAATAAGGCAAAGCCAGTGTTATTTTAGTATTCTTTATATACTATTACAGGATTTCTTTTGAAAAATGTTTTGAAATCCTTACCAAACCAACCCAGGTTTATGAAAACATGATCACCGTTTGCACTGTTATTGTGTTTCTGTAATCAGGTTATGAATGCACACTGAAACATATTTCTACATCTGATTTTTCAGGTATAGTGTTCTGGACAGTGTTGGGACGAGGCTCTGAGTTCGGTGCGATTAAGAGGGCCTACATGACCACGTTTGATGACCATGGAAATAATCCTGTGAAAGAGGTGGACCTGAACCTCAGATACATCTCCAGTCCTGATGGCATCGCTGTGGACTGGATCGGAGGGTATGTGACATGCTTTTCTATACTTTACTTGAGCTCTGATGCAGATTGTCTAACTGGTTACTGGGACAGTTCCAGAGAAATAAACATCCCTTCTGCTATGCATTTTGTCTTTTCCATTAGCCATATTTACTGGACAGATGCTGGGACTAATAGAATCGAAGTGTCAAAACTGGATGGACGTTACAGAAAGTGGCTGATTCACAGTGATCTTGATCAGCCAGCCGCTGTTGTGGTCAATCCTGGTCTAGGGTAAGAATATGAATATGAATGATAATATGAACGAAACTATATATTTACTATGTAGTAATGAAATTTGTAAAATTGTGATTTTTTTTAGGTCTGGAAAAGTCATGGAAATTAAATAAATACATCTTATAAAATAGTTGTTTTGGGTAGATATTGCTCATGTATTGAGCTTATGTAGAGATTCGTGAGTAAAGAAATTAAAAAGTATTGTTATTTTACTATAAAAACTATTTAATATACCTATTAAACAATAGATTATATATATATATATATATATATTAGTGCTGTCAAACGATTAATCGCGATTAATTGCATCCAAAATAAAAGTTGTTGTTTACATAATATATGTGTGTGTACTGTGTATATTTTTTATGTACAGTATATATAAATACGCACACATGCGTTTATATATTTAAGAAAAATATGTTATGTTTATAGATTAAATATATTTATATATGATATAAATTATATGAATATAAATATACACGTAAATAGGTCGTCTTATATTCGGGCCAATACGGTAATTAATGGACAGCCCTGAGGGATGCATGGTCATGAAAGTTTTAAAATTGTGATTTTTATGTGTGGGAAAAGTCCTGGAAATAAAACTAATACATCTTATAAAATATTTTAAAAATCTTGTCTAATAATCACAAACCACTTGAAATATAATTGAAATTTCATTGATCATAAAATGTTGGAACCCCGATTCTTCAAAACTGCTGTTTTTGTCATTAATGATGATTATTTTGTGCATGTATATGTTATAGTAAGATGTTCTGGACCGACTGGGGCAGAAAGCCCATGATTGAGACGGCGTGGATGGATGGGCAGCACAGAGAGGTGCTGTTAGATGAAGATCTGGGCTGGCCTACTGGTTTAGCTTTGGACTACCTGAATGAAAACCGCATCTACTGGTGTGACTCAAAAGAAAACATCATTGAATCGATGAAAGCGGACGGAACTGACCGTCAAATGATCCTATCAGGAGGTGAGACGTGGTAGCATTACATCCGAGAAAACAGCTTTTGACTGGCCGATGTTCTCACGTTTGTTGTCATTGCAGACATCGGTCACCCCTACAGTGTGGATGTGTTCGAGGGACACGTGTACTGGACGACTAAAGAGAAGGGAGAAGTGTGGAAAAAAGATAAGTTCGGGAAAGGAGACAAGGTGAAGGTGTTGACCATAAACCCCTGGCTGACTCAAGTACGCATCTACCAGCAGCACCGACACAACCACTCAGGTGCGACCGGGAATCCTTACGTTTCAACAAGGGCGTAAAATTTACTCTAGGGACCTAAATTGTCCCTAGCAATCAGTGGTGGCTCGTGGGTTTTAAAATAGAGGAGGCACACTAATTGTATTGGTCTGGGATCCCTGCCGATTATTATTATAATTTGCTTAACCACTTTAAAATGGCTTTTTGGTTGCTTTTAGTCAGAAAACGTAAAGAAAACGACACACATACAGCAAGATAATATAATTTCACTTACCTGGCCTATCACTTGAAGCAAACATCCATCCCTTCTATATATACTGTATATAGTGGTTTTGCATTTGTCTTTATACCCAAGAACAACTGTGTAGAAACCACAGGTGAATTAAGTTGAATGAAAGCACCTGTTCCTCAGTTCCTTTTCACCGCATTTCTTTTAGCCAAAGATAATTCCTGTAATAGTAATAGTAAATGACTGTTCACATTCTCTTGCAGTGCTGAACCCCTGTCAGGGTGTCTGCAGTCACCTGTGTTTGCTGCGGCCGGGTGGATACACCTGTGCCTGTCCGCAGGGCACCACACTGCTCGCCTTCAACAAGAATGAATGTGATGCCGGTAAGAGATGAACACACACTGACTGCTGTTAGTTTGAGATGAGCTGATTGGCTCCATTGCATCCCATCAATACATTTCATAACATACATGCATGTGCTGCGTCTGCTGCTGCATGATTTCATTATTGTCATGTGATGTTTTGACTTCAGTGCTCTGATATTGTGATGAAAGTGAGTGTTTGACTTGTGATGTGGTTGCATTGTGACTGTGTTGCATTGCCTCGCACATGCAGCCATTGAGGCAGAGGTGTCCATGCCACTTGCATGCAGATGCATGAATGGAGGAACATGCTACACTGATGAGGGAGGCCTGCCGAAGTGCAAGTGAGTGTGAACGCTAGTGTAGAGCATCACAGCCGCCCCGCTGATAGAGTTATTTAAAGGGCTCATATCATGAGGAATTTTCATTGATATTGTGAGATATGTGTTCACTGTTTTATGAAAACTTGCTGCAACTTATAGATTGTATATACAACACACTATATTAAAGAAACAGCTATATATATATATATATATATATATAGTCAGGTCCATATGTATTTGGACACTAACACAATTTTTAGTATTTTTGCTGTTGACCAAAACATATTCAAGTTACAGTTATATAATGAATATGGGCTTAAAGTGCACACTCTGAACTTTAATTTGAGGATATTTGAGGCCAGATTAGACTTTGCCAAAAAACATCTAAAAAAGCCAGACCACTTCTGGAAGAGCATTCTTTGGAAATTAAGATCAACCTGTACCAGAATGATGGGAAGAAAAAAGTATGGAGAAGGCTTGGAACAGCTCATGATCCAAAGCATACAGCATCATCTGTGAAACATGGAGCAGTGTGATGGCATGAGCGTGCATGGCTTCCAGTGGCACTGGGTTACTGGTGTTTAGTGTAAAAAGTTTAAAATAGCTTTCACTGACTTTTACATTAAATGTAAAAGTCATTACATTATATCAAACAGTCTTTAATAAATCCACACAAGGAAGGCTTGAAACACACATACACATCGACAAGACCAGACAAAGACAAACTGAACAGACTTGAACTTAAGTACAAAGTCAAATGAGGATAATTAATAAAACACACCTGAACCAACTGACATAATTAAGGGGAGACAAAACCTAGATCAAAGAACACGAGGAGAGAAAGCAAACTAAAAATCCATAAGGTGTGACAATATTCTTGTTCAACCCCTTGAATTAAAGCTTAAAGTCTGCACTTCAATTTCATCTTGATTGTTTCATTTTAATTCTATTCTGGTGGCATACAGAGCCGAAATTTTGAAAATTGTGTCAGTGTCCAAATATATATGGACCTGTGTGTGTGTGTGTGTGTGTGTATAGATAGATAGATAGATAGATAGATAGATTTCAATTATAAACAATTTGTCATACACAAAACCTCTATTTAGTGATAATTGATCAATTATAAACATAATTTGTCATATGCAAAACCTCTATTTAGTGATAATTGACTGATATTTAATATGGCAATATTTAATATGAAAATACATCATTTAATTTATTACTTAAATATTTTTTAACTACATATTGCAATTTAACTTCGGTAACACTTTCTATGAAGCCCATATTTATAATACATTATAAGGGTATTCTTAAGGCATTATAATGAATGCATAATGCATTTAACTTCTTCTGCAATCTAACTGAACTTCTGCAACATATAAATACATTAAATGCAATAAATACAATAGTCGCAAATACAATACGACTATGTGAACACAAATGACAATCATCATGAAAATCTAAAAATATGCAGTAAGTATCAGATTGTAGAAAGAACCATTTTTGTCAAAGCCATACTGTAGATTGTCTGTAACGGTTCAGTGTTTATGCTCCTCAGGTGTCCATACGGTTACTCGGGTAGTTACTGTGAAATGGGGAAGTCTAGAGGTGCTCCTGCAGGAACAGGTAAACAAACCCTTCCTTGTTAATTAGTTATTATTAGTTTCATTGTAAACACATTTGCTCACGGTTTGTAACATGTGATGTTGTTATTTATCAACTCTAATTACTCTGTCCATCTTGTTACACATGTTAATTTCAAATGAAAACTAATGAGACTGCACTCATATGTCTTACATACTGTGTGTGTGTGTGTGTGTGTGTGTGTGTGTAGCTGTGACCGTCCTGTTAGCAGTGGTTATTAGTCTGATTACTGGAGTTCTGGTTGTGGGAGTTTTCCTCAACTACAAGCGCACTGGCTCTCTCATCCCGTCAATGCCTAAACTACCCAGGTACAACACAAACACGCCACTCAACTACCTACAGTTCAGCTATATGACTTCATATTTTATGACTTCAGTTTAAGCAGCCAGTCTCAATGTGCTTTTAGTGCATGTATGAATATATGAGTATATCTACTGTCAGTATTGTGACTTATATGGGGGATTTTGCTGCTTGAAAAATGCTTTATTTCTCTAAAATAAATGCCACTTGGTTTGATATTTTACTCATCTTTAAGCATGGTTTACAAAACTGTTCAAAAGTTTGGGTTAGCTAAAGTTTTTAAATGTTTTTGAGTTGAAACCTCGCCAAGGCTGCATTTATCTGATCAAAAATACAGTTAAAACAGTAATATTGTGAAATATTATTACAATTTAAAATAACTATTTTCTTTTTGAATATGTTTTCAAATGTATTTTTTTCCTGTGATGCAAAGCTGAATTTTCAGCATCATTACTCCAGTCTTTAGTGTCACATGATCCTTCAGAAATCATTCCAATATGCTGATTTGCTGCTCGAGAAACATTTCTTATTATTTTTAATGTTGAAAACAGTTGTGCTGCTTCATATGGTTTTGTGGAAACCATGATACGTTTTGTCAGGATTCTTTGATGAATAGAAAGTTCAAAAAACAAAATTTATTTGAAATAGATTTTTTATTTTATTTTATGCATGTCTTTACTGTCACTTTTGATCAATTTAATGTCCTTGCTAAATAAAAGCATTAATTTCTTAAAAAAAAAAAAAAAAAATCTTACTAACCCCAAACTTTTGAACAGATCTAGTCATGTCATTCATAATCCCTGCCATCTCCTCCTTCTTTGTCAATTAATTTTTAATGTCAAACTGAGAACTTATAGCTTGTCACAGTAACACAACATCAAAACAACATCTAGTTAAAGGTTAGTAGGTTGCTGATTACTAAACTTAACCTACTGCCTGAGCTCTGTGTTATATTGAATATATGTGTTATATTTGCAATGACTTCACTGAGTATATCAAATTAAGCAACATTCAATATTGCGATGGTTTTAATGTTCGTTTTATTTCTCTGTGACGTTTCCACATAATTAGACTAGATCGAAGAAAGCATTAAGATGTTTATATGTCTCTGATTTAAACTTCAGCAGCAGAAACACTGTTTGAGTTGGTATAATTTTCATGTACCATTTTTTCTCCACTGTTTTTCTGTTTCTCTTAGTCTAAGCAGCCTGGTGAAGTCGGCAGACACAGGAAATGGAGTGGCGTTTCATTCAGGTGACAATGTCACGATGGACCTGGAGCCTCAGACTCTGGGAGTGTCGTTCATCGACAGGGCCATGCAGCTGGTAAATGGTGGTCTTTTGTGTCGATTTAACGGTAACTCCTGACTCCTGGATTGTTAAGTGCACTCAGCACATTTTTCTTGACTTATCTCTGAGGCGTAAAATCCCTGGTTGACCTTTTGGCCGCAGTGTTAATGTTTCATCTTTTCCAAGACTTACATTATCAGTGCACTAGTTTCTAATGGGATTCTGTGTACACTGCAAAAAAAATGGCTTATCTTACTTAGTATTTTTAGAATATTTAGAATATTTTACTTACACCACTGGCAGATAATTTTTTTTTTCCCCTGGAAACAAGACTAAATATCTTAAGTCATTTGGCTTATCTAGTAAAAGTATCTTGATTTAAGAATTTTTAGATATTTTGACTAGAAACAAGACAAAAATACTAAGTAAGAGAAGTCATTTTTTGCAGTGTATCATTAATCACAATGAAAATTCTAGTCTATTTAAGATGTTAAAAGTAGTGGTCGACTAATATGAGTTTTTCAAATAAGACAATGGCGATAATTAAATGAACACTTACCCTATCATTCACAAGTTTGGGGATGCATTAATTTGATCAAAAGTGACAAGACATTTATAAAGTTACAAAAGATTTCTATTTCAAATAAATGCTGTTCTTTTGAACTTTCTGTTCACAGTTTCCACCAAAATATGAATCAGCACCACTATTTTCAATATTGATAATAATCATAAATGTTTCTTGTGCAGCAAATCAGCATATTAAAATGATTTCTGAAGGAACGTGTGACACTGAAGACTGGAGTAATGATGCTGAAAATTCAGCTTTTCATCACAGGAATAAATTACATTTTAAAATATATTTAATAAATTAAAATGCAGCCTCTGTGAGCAAAAGAGCCATTTAGGAACAGTAAAAAAAAATCTTACCGATCCCAACATTTTTAATGGCAAACAACTTTATGCCAAGTTTATTGCCAAGTAAACAGTTATTTGCTAATAATCTCAGATTTCAGTGCCTGAAGTTTTTAATTCACCTCATTGATTTCAGTCTAGCTAGCTAGCTGTGGGTTGAAGCATTGATTTGTGTCTGATCTGGATTCTCTGGTTTTTATTATTAGGATGAGAATTTTGCAGACTCTGGTAGGCAGCCAATCACATTTGAGAATCCTCTGTACTCGACTGCAGCCGGCCCATCCAGCGATCCAGCAGTAATACACGCTACTCAGGTACATTGCCTTCTCGAAAGCATTTCATAACCTTCTAGACATTGCTAACAGTGTGAATGAAACATGTTCGACCTGAGCGGGTCTTCTGTTGAGTTTTGTGTTTCTGTGCTTCATACAGGTCACTGTGAACGTCAGCGGTGATCAGGTGGAGAATAACTTCTCAAACCCTACGTATAACGCTCATGAACAGACAGTGGAGGTGAAGAGCAGACCTACAGAGCAAACAACCACACAGGTGGGAACATCTGAACATTTGTCCACAGTTCAGTCATTATTTCCTGTTGTTTCTCCATCATGCGACCATGTTTATATTATTTTATTTTATTTTTTATTATTTTATTTATTTTAATTTTAATTTTTTTTGATATTTTAT